TCTCCATGCACCTTGTGTGGAGTAGTAGTGGTTTAAGTTGATATATACTTGTAATAGAAACTTGAGGGTTCAAGTCATAATGTACTTTGTAGCTTCATTTGAGTTAAAATTATAGCTCTTGTACATGAAAGGAAAGTGAAATTCGGGGCAAATCCCATGAGATTGGTCCTTTAATTATCTAGAATTATGCTTCGGTAATTGATTTGCAGCATGATAGTGAGTGAGATTTTGGTTTAAGCTATGGTTGTGTTTTCTAAAATACCTTATAACTAGTTTATAAATTGGCTGAAAAACTTACAAGGTGTGTGTGAAAAAGTTGTAAAAATTAAATTATTTTAATATAATTGATTATATGAATAATCAATTATAATAATCAATTATTGTTATAATCAATTATAATTAAAATAAAATTTTGTTTGGATAAATCAGTTGAAAAAATATTTTAAGATGTTTAATTTCGTTTAAATACAAAAAAAAAAGTTAATTTTTATGTAGTAAATCAACTTAAAAGAAAAAAAATTATTAAAAAATAACCATAAGTTTCAAATCTTCATTTTCATAAAAGCAGTTTATTTCAAATAAAATAAAAAATGTTATAATTAAATATAAGTTGTTAACTTAAACACGATGTTTTTCTCCGTAGCTGAAATGGGAGATTATAACCTCTCCCAAACACTCTCTTATAAGTTAGTTAGAAGTTGAAAAACCGAAAAAATATAAGTTAGCCGATTGAATTAAAAGTATTTCTTTTATAAACTTAAATCAAAGTGTTTGATCACATTAGTTGAGCTAGTTGATTAATGTTAAAAGACATATTTATTTATTAATTTAATAATGTGAATGATAGAATATATAAGACAAAATGATTTCTAAATTAAAAGAGGTAAAAAAAATTCAAGTAAATTAATGAGAATAAAAAAGAAAAGAGAAAAAAAGATTAAGAGCTTATAAGTTATAATATCTTATCTTAATTATAATTTATAAGTAGCATGCCAAATAATTAAAACCAATAAAAATAATAAAATTGGTTATTTTTAATTAATTCTACAATAATTTAAATTTTTATTCAAAAATACTCTTTAATTTAAGTGATTGTTATATTTAATGTTATTTATAAGTTAATGCATAGAAAATAAAGTAACAATAAATTAAGGTATAAAAAATCATATTTCAGTAATAAAATAAAGTAATAATAAATTAAGGATATAAAAAATTGATTGTTGTTGATAATTAGGATAAAAAAAATCTAATTTATTGTTCATAATTAGAACCAAAAGTAGTATACGCTACATAAATAAACTATAAACTCCTAAAATAAACTTTTATACCAAACATTTTGGTCAAACCAGCTTATAAGTTGGTTAAAGTAGTTTATAAACTCTTTAAATGTCTTGTTTAACGCACTATACGAGTGTGAGATAAAATTACCTTATAAATTAATTGAAATTTTATAAGCTAGCTGTAAACTTATAATCTATAATTTAGGAGTTGAAAGGCTAGAAGCTTATGAGCTAATGGATTGAATTAAAAGTGTTTTTATAAAATTAGTCGATAAATATAAAATGACATAAAATAGTTTGGCTTAAATATTTTCTTGGTCTCTGAAATATACTTGTTCTTTTCTTTTGGTCCCTAAAATTTTTTTACTTAACTTTTTGGTCCTTGTAATTTTTTTCTTGTTTAGAGTCCTTGTTGTGAGTTTCTTTCACTATTTTAAATGATGTGTCAAACATCAAACGATTGAAATTCACTTGAAATAATGTTCAAATATTTGACATGTCATCCAAAACAGTAAAACAATCATGATAGAGACTAAAAGAAAAAAGTCACATGTTGGTCGTAATAGTAGCGACAGTGGTAACGACAATAATAGTGGTAACGGTTGTGGTAGAGATGCCAATAACAATGACAACGATATCGATTGTGGCACTAGTGGTAGTGACGATGGTGAGAGGGTGAGTGAATAAGAAAGAGGAAAAATCTATTTACTACAAAAGTATTTTATAGGTTAATTTAAATTAATAAAACAAAGTTATTGAGTGGAGTAAGTGAAAGTAGACTTATTCTTAGAATAAGTGAACCCCTCCTCATTTACATATACTCATATATATATATATAAATATATATATAGAGAGAGAGAGAGAGAGGAGAGATCTGTTTACTCTTGGAGTAAATCTACCTAGACTTATTTCGTTCAATAACTCATGTTCTACATCACTATTGAATTTAAAGGTTAGATGATTGAAATTTGATGTGGAACATGAGTTGTTGAGTGTATAATAAGTCTAGGTAGACTTATTCCTGTAGCAAATGAATCCTTTCTCATATATATATATATTACTCCAAAAGTAACTCTAAGTAAGGTTACTTCACTTAATAACTCATAATGTATATTACGTTTTAAGGATCCAACATTTAAATTAAAAATTGTTAATATATAGATCAATTCTACAAATTTAAAAGAAAAGTAAAAAATATATGATACTTTATTATATAGATTCAAATCAACGTATAAAATATTTTTATAATTATTAGTCAATTTGAGTTAATAAAACGACTTATCAAATAATTTTTAAAATTTAAAAAAATTATAAACTTGACTTATGTATTAAAAACTTTCAATTTAACGATTAAATTGTTGAAATTCAACATATTCCATGAATTATTGAGTAAAGTAACTTTATCAAGAATTACTCTTTGAATAATTTAATTTCTCTCCATATATATATATATATATATATATATAGGGATAAACATACACAAGAGTAAATCTACTTATACTTACTCTACTCAATAATTAATGTTCTAATCAAATTTTAACGATCTAATCATTAAATTAAAAGTTCTTAGTGCATAGATCACATCTACAAATTTAAAAAAAAAAAATTAAAAATCATTTGATACTTTGTCTCATAAATTCAAATTGGCAAATAATCATAAAAGTATTTTGTAAGTTGATTTGAATTAATGAAGCAAAGCATTAAATAATTTTTAAAATTTTTAAATTTTTTGAAAACTTGATATATGCATTAAGAATTTTTAATTTAACAGTTAGATCATTACCCTTGAAGTAAATAGACTTATCTCTCTCTCTCTCTCTCTCTCTCTCTCTCTCTCTATATATATATATATATATATATATATATACACTAATGTAACTTTTACAGTGATACAAATTGGTTCATTGATGGAGACAAACATTAACAAAACTGGTGAATACTTTACACCAACTATATGATAGTAAAAAAAAAAAACATTTATCAAGATATAATACTAATTATAAATTTTTATAAGGATATTTTGCCCATAAAATCAAATTTATAACTAACAACATGATGGAGTTGATAAGATAATTTGTATCTTTAATTCTTATGTATATCGACAAGTTCAATTCTCTGGTGAGCATATAAGAAGACTTTATTAAAAAAGATGAAATTTCCTTTAATAATTTTTACGTTTTAAAAATAATTAATTTTTTTTATTATCGGCAGGAAGATTATCTTAGGTAAATAAAATAGTTGTTTTTTTTTTTAATTTAAACCATCTTATCATTTTTCTTTTTATGTCCTTCCACATTGAATTATTCTTTCTCGCTATATATCTTTACATTGATTTCCCCAATATTTTTTTGCCAAAATTCATGTCTACTAAATAGTTCCCATTTCCTAATATACATACTCCAAATGTAAGACGTGTTCCAAATTGGTCACAAGTAACTGGCTGGTTCTGATAGTCTTTATAGATTTTATTTATTTAATTTTTGAGGGACATGTATTGTATTTTGTGAAGAGTTGAAAAACGACTGAAATCAATTGGCTCCTGAAAATGATATAACTTTGTTGGGTGGTTAAGCTGTCTTATGTCATGTCTTGATTTCAAACCCATCTTTGAACCCATGTGACCATCCGAGACCATTACTAATGGTCATTTTCAAAGACAAAACCCCAAGTCAATGGTGGTTAATTAATATTAAACATTTGGTGATTTGAGGGAGGCAAATTTCAAGTTTCACGTGGGTTTGGTTAAACATGTATGTAGTCCTTTTTGCTCTGTTTACACTGTTATTTGAACCTTTCATTGAAATTTAGGGATCAAGAAACTGTTTAATTGGGTGGACATGTAGCATTACTATTGATTGCGGTGGCCGAAAAGAGTTGTGTCCATATAATAAAGGACATATTAATTTATAATACTAGATATGACTTATTTAATAGAGTTGCACTATAAAAGATGTCTAATTATTTAGAGAGTAAATACTGTAATCTAATAGTAGAGTTGTACATTTTTATCTGATTATAATTATATTTACGACAAACTTATTAGCCTTTATATAATAATTATCTAAATAGTATTATAAATACTTGCTTCTTGTTTTTATTCAGTGAGCTGAGTGAAACTCAACTTCCTCTAAAACTAAGTGGGAAAACTAAAAACAAGGGTATTAACATTTTTTTTTTGGTCAAAAAAATATATAAAATAGAAGTGTTTTCCTAGTGAGGTAAGTTTAACCAGGGTGGAAAGGTTATTCAAATAAAATTTAAGTCCTTTTTATGGTTGATTAAGAGAAAAAGATTGTACCAATCACCTACCACTTAATTCGTGAAATCATACCTAGTTATATTATATAGTTAGTCACAAATACGATCGAAACAAATTTGGATGCTAATATTAAAAAAAAAAAATACAAATGTCCAAATTAATTTGATAATAATCTCCCCTCTAATAAGTGGTTCACAGTAGACAACTAACATTTAAGTAAAATCATCACACTTACAATGTCTCATGTAAGATTAAAATTGCCCCTTAAGGCAGCATTTACACATGCATATAAGAGGATGATAAATATGGGTTGTTTTCCTAATAGGGAGCCATTTATTTATTTTAAGGGTGGGAATGATCAACCTACTATATTCAACACCAAGTAAAATAAAAACCTGTGAAAAAAATAATGAATGAAATAACATCTATCACCATGTACAAAGGTGTGATGGAAACAAAAGTGAACAAGCAAAGAAAAATTTAGGTTAAATTGGTAGGGGTGGTTCCTTGGCCAAAATGATCAGAACTGATGATTTTATATACACTACACTACAACATGTGAAGGGCATATGCCCAAATTAAATGGAAGACAATTAATTTAAGATATATTAAAGGGGAAAATGAAGATTGAGAAGAGAATAAGGATAGACATAAGAACCACCAACAAACAAGGATGCTTGGTTACTCCATATGCATTCTTGCTTCCCTACAAGGTTGCTCATGTGACAAAATGTGTTAATGGAGAATTTCCCTTCCCCTACTTCTCCTAAGTTTGGGAAGCAGGCGAACCAGCACCCCCTGAACTACGTGCCCCTTGGTTGGAAGACTTGTCTGTGCTACGAACATTGTATCTATCATATACCTTATCCCGATTCTCCGACCACCATGTTTCTGCTTGGTGCTCTCCGAATCTCCTTCGGCTGCCATACAATCGCCATCAAAGAGAGTACATATAAGAGCGATGATTACAAGAAAATTTGAACATCTCAATTTTAAGTAATAGTGATTAGGGTTAAACATCTTTTTCATCTTCATAAATATTTAAATGTTCGTTTTTCATCCACATTTTTAAAATGTCAACTTTTGATCCTCCATTTTTTAAAATATGTCAAATTTTATCCACATCACCAACTCTATTAATCCATTTTAATAGTGATGCCTAGCCAGCAAAAGACACGTCATTAATGGTGATGACTTGTCTTTCACCGACTAGACATTACCGTTAAATTGAATTAAAGGAGTTGATGGCGGGAATAAATTTTGACAAATTTTAAAAAATGAAGGACCACAAGTTGATGTTTTAAAAATGGGAGATGAAAAATGAATATTTACATATTTGAGAACGAAAAAGATATTTAATGTGTAACCCTAGCAATTAGATACAAGGCCTAGTTAAAGTCATGCAAAGTCGAAGAACATATTTAAGGTCCATATTTTGTAATTCCATAATCCCCGCCCCCACTAACAATCATCACTGGTGAAACATTACTGGGGCATCTACAGTTAGACAGTCAAATATACAAGTAGAACCAAATAGATACGAATAATGTGGAGGATTTTTTATTACCTGAAGCGCACTCGCTTCAGATCTCTTGTTCCATCACGCAGTGCCACGAGTGTTATGTAGACACCAGGTTCATACTGTTCAATCCATTCTGCCTCAATTTGATTACTAATAGCAGCTGGTGCAGCATTCCTTGATTTCAAACCACTCTCATCGTCATGGAAATTTCCAGAATCCCTGCCATCAACAGTGTCAGACACGCTACCGCTGCTTGCCTGAATGACACCACCACCATTTGGCAATTTAACATCTGGATAACTGTTGGTCCCGTTCGAAGTCATGGGGCTCCGGATTTGCTGGTGAAGATTAGTTCCATAAGTTCCTGGCGAATTCCCTGCACTTCTATTCAATTGGGAGGATTCAAGGGCCATGGAGGCCAAACTAGAGCCACTGATTGACTCTGCCCGGGATTGCGGCTCCCCATTTGAATCAGGATAGTGGATGCCATTTGGCTCAAGACCATTTGGTAGGTAAGCTGGTCTAATGTTCTCGGTATCATAAACTCCAGGAGGAAGCTTCTCAGCCAGATCTTTGAGCTGAAACAATGTTAGTGAGCAATCAGTATAAGTGTAATAATGCAGAAGTATAAGAGATATGTGGGGTAATTTATTATGAAAAAGATAAGGGTAAAGAGTATGTAGTGAAACTCAAACCTGCGTGTATATGTCCTAACAAATAAAATAATTTAATTTTGTAATATACAGTTAAACCAAAAGTGAAACAAATAAAACTGAAAATGAAATCAATTCTTAATTCCTGTTGTTACAGTTAAGAAATTTTATAAAAATAAACTTCAATTAGATAGATGGTTTAATCTGGATGTCCATTTATTCAATGTGGAAAAGCTAAAAAGAAGTTACAAATAATAAAGCACCACATGAAAATAAACCATTCCAAAGACATCTGACTTCAAGAGAAATGAATTAACAAGAAAAAACCTGTGCTGTGAGTGACTTTATAACTTCTTTTGCAGCTTTAGATTTAGCAGATTCCTCAGCAGCCAGTGCCATGGCTTCTTGAGTCTTTTTTGCTGACCTTTGAAGCTCTAACTCTTGCAGTTCACATCTCTGTCTCAGGCTCTCGACCTAATGATATCTATGATTAGACTTGTCTTCATACCATAAAAAGTGAAAGAAACAACATATATTTATATGCACGTGACATTAACTTTTCTGACAATTTGAGCAAAGTGATAGTGATGCAATTTTGCAAAGTTGATTTATCAAGCTCAAAATTGTAAGAAATAATTAATAAAATGGAGGATAACTGTACTCTGTCAAAAACTTCTACTGGATTTACATAGAGAAGGAAAGCAAAATGCACCTGAGCATGTAACTTCTGCACTTCTTGATTTAAAAGTTCATTTGTTTTCTTCAAACTGTCAGCAATACTTTTGGAGAAGGAAAGTCCTGAAGTTGTTGGAATAGGTGTGGCTGACCGAGGAGGGCTTGGTCTCCTAGAGAAAGGGGATACAGATCTGGAACTTACTCCTGATGGTGCAACCACTGGTCTCGGAACTGTTCGTCTCAGATCAAGAGCAGTGGACAAGACAACATCTTTCAGCTGTAGCAAAGGTGGTTGTGAGGTGCGAACGAGCGAGAATGTATCAGCTTTCTTTCCTTGCTTGGCTGCCTTACTATCTAGTTGCTTTATCAAATCCATGTTAGAAGGAATTAATGCCTTGGACAATCTTAAGTCAGACTTGTCTAGCCTATCCTTGTTTTCACCCGACAAACGAGGCAAGGAATTCCTTCTATTATTATTGCTAGCTTCTGCAACCTTGTTCAGTTTCGCATAACAAGAATCACACACACGATATGGCTTGCCAGGATTAGGAGCTAGTGCTGCTCTTAATGCTTTCCTTGAACTGCATGAATGGCAGTGGACAAGTCCACAGTTGTAACAATTGTGCCTCTTTCTAGTGAAGCCAAACGCCTGTCTACAAGTAGAGCACTGAGACTGCTCAGCACCAGATACCCACCTATGAAGGCATATGGCAGCAGAGTAGTTTGAACCACATGCAATGTATTTCACATGTCTGTCCTTCAATGCTTCAACCAAAGATGGTGTTTTTCGATCTTCAATATCACCATGACCCAGTCTCCCATTTGCACCTTTTCCCCAAGTATAAACTTCATTTTTGGAAGTTAATACAGCAACATGATATGCACCACATGCAATTTCTTCAACAGGTTCCCCAGCAATCTTCTCCCCAACCAAGCAGGGAAGCTTTCCATCAGACTGAGGATTCCCGAGCTGACCATATACAGTACTTCCCATAGTAAAAACACGTCCAGATGTCGTCAAGCCTGCCGTCAAACTGTGCCCACAAGCAATTTTATGAAAATTGTAATCAATAAGTGCAGGCACACAAGTAGGTTTAAGACGTGCCTCCTTGTCCCCGTGTCCAAGGCGATTTTTGTCTCCATCGCCCCATGTAAACAATTTACCTGATGACACACTTGTACCAGAGTGCGTTGCAATAACCTCTACAATAGCTGCAGTATGCCACACTCCACATGCAACAGCTATTGTTTTCAATCCTGATAAGGATTCCACTTCTCTAGGATATGGAACATTTTCCCTATTTCCATGGCCCAAGACGCCGAATGTTCCATCACCAAAAGTGAACAGCTGCCCTGTTGAAGTTATCAAGGCTGTGTGCCATGGACCACAAGCAACAAATGCAATTTGAAGTCCCTCTAATGGACCTGCAATTCTCTTTGGTATCCAATGACTTACATCTCTGCCATGACCAAGAAGCCCAGCATAATGAGTACCATCACCCCATGTAAATAGTTCCCCAGCCATTGTAACAGCACAGGAATGGAACTCCCCACAGGCAACAAAATCAACAGTCGTAGTAGTCAACGCTTCAACAAGACAAGGTTGAACCACATTCTTCCCAACTCCATGGCCGAGACGTCCTCCCAATTCTTCGCCCCATGTAAAAACTTCACCTTGCCTAGTGACAAGAGAAGCATGTCTAACACCACATGCTATATGATGCACATCTAAAACTACATTGGATTCCAGTGGTCTGGGGAGAAGTACATCTGCCCTTGGGCTGAAATAATTGACATTTTTATCGGCACCAACTTTAACATTTTCACAGATAACCTCCCCCCATATGTATACATCCCCCAAAGCATCATAGTCATCCGGTGCAGACCCATGGCTAGATGTACTGGGGGCACTTGAAACACTGACACGAAAAGCATCTGAACCAGATCCTTTCACTTGCATGTTTGTTGGGTCTGGTGGCACATGTGACCTTTCAGAAGTTGTTTTGTCAGGTCTGAACGACTTTGGTGAAGTGTTTGGAAGACTTGCAGAAATTTCAGGAGAACTGATGCCTAGTGATGTGCTAGCAGAACTTTCACTTGGACTTGACGTTATGTCTCTGCTATCCTGATATTATTTGAGCCACAGAACTATAAGCAACTTGGGTATTTCATCAGGAGCTATGGAAGCAAAATGGCAACAACAGAAGTACAGGAATTTGGAAAAGTTGTATTCAATCAGATCATCTTTCCACAAAAATATCACATCATAGAAAAAATTAGAGTAGGTTAATCAGCACAGTCAGTTACACCAAATAACAACCAAACAAGAGCATGAATGAATGGCAATATCTTTCAGATAAAAATAAAATAAAAAAACTACGGTACATATCCTTTCAGGTTAAGCTGCCAAGTGAGAAAATAAAGACTCTTATAATGGAGCAAATAAGTTTTCTCCATCTTGATTAGTTCAAAATATACATTATTGTAAGCACTGTAGCATTTTGGTGTGGAGAAAGAAAATAATTGAAAAAACATAACAAAATGAAATTATTCTATTCTTCTAGGTTCCATAATTTTTAGTAAAACCAAAATGTACCACTTCTTAACAAGTTAACCTCATGCCTAATACTGTTTCATTTTTATAATGCACCAAGTGTAGAATCACACCCATATGTTGTCCCGTTCCATTCTTGCGCGTCTACAAAATGTAGCCCAAGGAAAATGATACAACACCCAACTATTAACCCGAGACTACGATCTACAAGAAACCTAATGCGACTAAAATGCATTTAACTACAAAACCACAAGTTAGCATATTTACATCAAGAATGAGGCCCCCTTCACTCCATCCATCAATTTTGGACCGACCACCTTGACCAGAAAATATCAGTGCTTTGAGGCCTGCAATCCACACTTCTGCCTCAACTTTGTCTTTACAAATCTGAAAATTAATACATAGAAATTATTATAATAAGGAAAAATACTGAAAATAAAAACAAATGATTTAGCCATTTAGTGATGCATGAAATACATAATTTGTTACTAACCAAATCAAGCGATCGCTTTCCGTTACTGTAAATAAGTGAAAAAGACAAATAGTCTTTCTCAGGACGCAAATAACGTTGGAAAACAGCCTGCCAAAAGATTAAGAAAAGAAAATACAGAAGGGATAAGAGTAAGTCAGTGAAACAATTTTTAAATCACTGTTAATAACAAAAAATGTCATGGTTTTCTGTGCAATTAGATATAAGGGAAGAAATCTCACAGTTCTTTGTCCGGGAATAATTCTAGAGACAGAAGATAGCTTCAGGTTTCTTTCTCCGCTACTTGTAATCCAGATTAATGATGACTCATCCTGCAGTTTACAGACATTTAATGTGTATACATAGAAATTACTCAAAAGAGTGTAAAATTCCAGCCTACTATATATGAATGTTCAACTTTATAGTCTACAATCAAGGAAGCACAGAAAACATGTTTTTTTATTAGAACTTGTGAGACAAGTATACAGCCATAAAGGCATACACCAAATAAGAAATATGTCTTCCCTTGAATAAAGCTACAATACAAGTACTTGTTAGCAGTAGGAGTGTTCAAATAAACCCGACCAGAACTGGTCATGAATTGAACTAAACTGAAGTATAAAACTGAAAACTTATTTTTTTATAAAGGATTTAAGAATTCAACTAAACTAAACCATAAAAACTAAACTATTTTTATGAAGGGTTCAAATTCTCCTACTTTATTTTTTTCTCATGTTTATCATTGCCAAAAAATAGTTTAGTGCAATTCAAATAGTTCATTTCAGTTCAAAATAAAGTTTTGTTCAAATTTGAGAAAATAGTTCACCGAACTAATATAATACTTTGGTTCAGTTAGTTCAAACTGTTTTTCCTATTCAGTTCAGTTCAACATTTTCAAACACCCCTAGTTAGCAGTAGCACTAATTACTAAAATTAGGAAATTAGGCTCAAGTAACAAGTCAGCATTTCATCTAACAAAAAACACTCATTTATTTTATATACAAACATTTGATTATCATTATTACACCTCAAGTAATTATAATAAACCCAAAACATGGTATCCAAAAACAACAAATTGCCAGTTACCCCCTCAAACTCTTGAATCCACCATCACTTCCAAAATCCAAATGCATTTTTTAGTAGCAAAAATATAATAAAAGATTTCAAAACTAATCCTAAAAATACATACTTTACATTACTGAATTGAAACCAGTGCATGGTTCTAACAACAACAATAACAAAACCCTTATTTCACTAGGTGGGATTAGCTATATGGGTCACACCACGCCGTGTGGCTCAGCCGAAGACCAAATCTTTAAAGATATTATTCACCATGAGATCCCTCTTAACTACTTGCATGAAAAAAAATTTCTTCTACCAAACACACCCCTACATTCACTACCATAGAGTATGGTCAAGCAATACAATAAAACTTATGGAAAGAAAACCAAATAAAAAAAAATTGTATCAATTATAAGGGACATTAGACAAAATTGTTAAGAGAAGTCTCATGGTGAATAATATCCCTAAGAAATTAGTCTTTAATTAGGTCCAACAGCAATGTGCAATCCATGTAGCAGAACTTCCCTAGTAGGATAAGGCTTTGATGATGTTGTTGTTGTCCAAATCCTAAGATTATGTAAAATTGTAAATAATAGAACAAAATTTCTATGCAAAATCATAAAAATATGGATAGTAATAATAGTAATACAAATTGACCTGAAATGTGCCATTATAATGCAGTGAACCCAGAGAGTTCCCAATGTCTACCCAAGAAATTACCAATTTTAGCCACAGTTAAATGTATGTGGCATATAAGTAACAGTGAAATTCATCAACGGTTTAGTAATATATTTCCTATTCTCTAAAAGGTATAAGAAGTTCAGGAACCAGGCTATACAGTTGACACATGAAAGTTAGTTACAAATTACAATTTTTCAGGCACTCCCTACTGTGAAATGGAATCACAGTGCACACTGCAAAAGTATGTCAGAATTCAATCCTGATAAAATAAGGAAACTACAAATTAACAGTCTTTCCATACTAAACTGCTCATATAATTATAGCATGATTAGCATAAAAAAATGCAATAGCAGCTATCTTTCATGAACACATAATCAATTAAGAACAATCCAACCACGCAGTTAATAAAGATGCAATGTCGAGAATCCACAAACACATTCCTGAAAAGGCTTTCATTTAACTTACATTGGAAAGTCTAAATGGACAAAACTTGGGCTTTCCTTTACGACCATATTTAAGAAGTTGAGCACCCTTTTTCAAAGCAATCAATGCCTACAGATTAATATAAACAGCAATTAAGATCAAATAAACACAGCAGTATATATATAGACTCAAATGAAATTTAAAACGTGCAACATGTTAAAAGATCTAAATCGACGATCAAGATTTGTAAATTCACCTTCTTATGACAACGAGCCTTACAACAAAATACTCAAAGGCATCATTTTATAATGCAAGCACCCAAAACAAGATGATTATTATTTTGTTGGAATGAGCATTTGCAAACTTTATTTTAGATAATCTTAATTGTGTAAAATTGTTTTTCTGTTAAAATCGAGTTTGAAATAAAGTTATTTATGTTTGGAAAGTTTCATCACAAAAGCAAGTTTATAGCAAAAATATAAATTTTCAACTTAATGCAAAAGCTACCTTTTTTCACTTCTAAATAAACACATTTTTTAGTGTTTGAAAACCCATTTCCACCCTTTTAAGCAGAAGTTTACACATTCCAATACACCAAACATATAAAGCATTAATTTTTAATATTTTAACATGACTTTTTTCTGAACGTTAAAGAAATGGATTTCTTTAGTGGAGTAAATTAATCTATCATCTCTTGAGAGATGTTTAAACTTTAAATACACTCCCCTCCTATCTTATTTTAAAATTTACACTAAGCTCCTTTAAAAGATGAATGTGAGAGGCACTTTGGTCCTTCTCAATATAAATGAACCTCTTAACAGTGGTATATAACTGTGAATGTCCCTCCCAATGATAGTTTGTGTCTTTTACAACTTTTTGTGTCACTAATAACTAATTTTGAACATCCTATTATTGATTTTAGTATTTTAAAGAATAGAATGAAATTTTAAATACTACTTTTATTGACTTTGAAATTTCATACAAAATCTTCATTTAATATTCAAAAACCACAAAATTGATAGTATATGTTCAAAATTAACTATTAATCATGTCAAGAATCACTGCAAGGAGGAAAAATCTCTAAAAAAACTCATTTACATTAAAATGAATTCAAATGTAATGCATTTTTTATTTTTATCTTTCAAGGGAGGGAAGTGTATGTTTTAATATAAAAGGGGAGGACAATGTAATATAAGCATCTCTCAAGGGGGATGTAATTTAGGTTTTTTTAGAGTACCAGTGTCCTTAAAGTATCTAGCCATATGGAAGAATCTACTCAGGGTCTAAAGTGACGAGAAATATATTTTTAATCAGACACATAATGACCAATGTTCAACATGTTTCATAAAGTCAGTATAGGAGGCATGTCCTAACATGGTTATAGAACTCTCGAGTAAACATGTAGGTTTGAATGGGGTTTACTTTTCACATGGAGGAAAGGAGTTGAATTGCATGAAAACTCATTGGTTAGTATACTTGGTTGGAATTAGGTAGACTTCGGTTATACAAGGACAAGTTTGAGAGTTACTGGATCACATTACTTTTACACAAACCAAAATGAAACATTTTTAGCTTGAAAGGCTTGGACCAGCTTTTGCAAAATGACTTTTATATGCTTCACCTTCAAGTAGAAGCTCGCTCAAAAATGCAAATCAATCGGCTCATCTGTGATTCATTGCCATCACAATTGTGGTTTGCTTTATTATAAAATTAGAAACATTGAATATTTATTATGCATATGGAATTAAATTCTGTTTTAATACTTCTATAGGCATTTTAAATATTATGTATTTATTAGGTAACTTTTATGAGTTTAGAAGTAAGGTTTATAGATCCTTCAAGAGTTTACATAATCTTGAGTTTGACAACATTGTGTCCGAGTTTTGACTAATGAGAAAGAATAAGAATTTAAACCACCTTATACTATAAGGGCTGTGAAATTCCATAAAAAAATCCAGTACATCACAACAATGATTCAAAATCTATGAGAAGCCTATTTCTCTTCGTTCCTAATATTTTTACCTATGTTACAGGTTAGAGATGTCATACTAACTACAGATATTTCTAGGTACACTAACAGTTGCCCAAAAAAAAAAATAAACAGAGGTTTCTGGCTCAATTTCACTAGATAAATGTTAATTTAGTCAGCTTCCATATAGAACTAGATGATAAAATGTTCAGTCACTTGGTCAGTGCAATCAAGACTTCAGGTGCAAAAAAGCTTTTATGACGATTGAAGGCACTAAAAAATCGTAAAAATAAACATCAATGATGCAAGCTTCAATTTGATGTTTGAAACAATCCAAGACAACTATAAAATGCAAAATGCAACATTTTTACTTTTTTGTAACATGGTCAAAAGACATCTACTGACTTAAGGTGTGATTGATGCCTCAAAGGGTCAAAAATAACTTATAATTCACAATATAAAACTTTTAGAAAATAAATACAATACAAGTATATATTTCATCTCCCAAACAAATGTTAGATTCCATCTCAAAATCAATTGGGCATTTACGTGAAGTTACCACATTAGATTCCATCTCAAACCCAATTGATATTAAGTGAAATTCCCAAGTTAGATTCCATCTCAAACCTGATCGATATTAAGTGAAGTTATCCAACAGATATATAAGCCACATCCTAAGAATTGAGACAAACGATATGGGACTTCCCAAACGCACACTTAACTATTAAAAATTCAAAAAACAAGTTACCACTCCATCTGTTTAATAAAAATAAAAATAAATAAAAAAAATCTAAAAATATGTTAGGATCAATCTCAAAATCATTTGGCATTTAATTGAAGTGCCCATGTTACTATGTTAGATTCCATCTCAAATCCAATTGATATGTTTAGTTGCATGACGGATATATAAGTCGCACCCCAAGAATTGAGGCAAGCCATATGGGACTTGCCAAACATGCACCAAGCTATTAATAATTCAAAAAATAAAAGTTATCCCTCCATCCATTTAATAAAGAAATCTCTAAAACAAATGTCAGATTCCATCTCAAAATCAATTGCCATTTAAGTGAAGTTCCCATGTTAGATTCCATCTAAACCCCAGTTGATATTTATGTGAAGTTGCCCAACAGATATATAAGTCACACCCTAATATTTGAGCCATGATATATAAGTCACACCCTAATATTTGAGCCATGGTTTTAAATTGCGGTCTGCAATACCATTTGAAATATTTAAAATCCCCCAACGCAACCGCAACGAAACCATAACAAACCCACAATACCGTTTCATTCCAATTTTTTTCACAAAATAAAAAAAATCCAAGCTTTAATCTTTTATTCTGATAAGTGTGGTCACCTAGGATGTTAGGAGAGGGAGGGAGAGAACTAATGAAGGTTGTTTTAGTGTGTTGGGAGGTTGCATGATGCATTTTAGGAAAATGGGAAATGAGTGTGGAGTGAAAATTTGTGAAGAAAGGATTTGATTGAGTTTAATTATTATAGAATTATTGGTTTATGTTCGATGCAAACACATAATAATTTCATGCGGCAACAGCTACAATCTGTATCACAGTAGCCACAATAGCCGTAACCGCGACCTCAAGTTAGAACCATGATTTGAGTAAGCGATTTTACATAGATTTTCTACAAAATTATTCCCATTATGGTGAAAATTTAACATTCTCGAGTTAAAAGAAAGTTTTATTGGGGTATAAATATCACGTTACCTTTTTCTCTTCTACCAAAGGTAAAAGGGTTGAAATTGAAAATAACACTTATTATTCACAAGATGAAACCTTTAGAAGAAAATAACTACGATATACAAGTATATCTCTCAACTCTCATCTCCCAAACAAATGCTAGATTTCATCTCAAAATCAATTGGCATTTAAGTGGTGTTCCCGTGTTAGTTTCCATCTCAAACACAAGTTGACCAAAATCAATTCATTTAAGTGAAGTTCCCATGTTAGTTTCCATCTCAAACCCAAATTGCTCAACAGATATATAAGGTGTTGCGCCCTAAGAATTGAGGCAAGCTATGTTGACTTCCCAATAACGAAGAAAATAACACACGATCATAATTCATAACATTTTTAGCCATCACAAAGGAATTTAAAAAACAAAAAAATGAACCGTTTCCACACACACTATAACAAAAACTGAAACAAAGAATCAAAACTTGTACTCTCACACAAAACTTACAACCTCCACCTATAGAGAGAGGAAAAAGAAGGAACCTACGTGTTCAATGTCACGGTTGGCATTCCCGTAGCTAGCAAGATCTGCCATTCCATGTGAGAGATTCGCCGACGCGCCACCACCCTCTCCGATCACTCGCCGGAGCTCCGGTCATCATAGAAAACTCCAACCTCTTCTTCTCTCCACAACCATTCACCCTCAAATCAAACCAAAACCTCTCTCTCTCTCAAAAACCAGAGAAACCCACTTCCTATTCTCGCTCTAGAACCTTCCTGGATCTGCCCCTCTTCGCAGAACCCAAAAAAATCCCCGAAACTCACTCACCGTTTCAAGTCAAAGACTACCCCGGTTTTCTGAACCGGGAAAAAACCAACTTTTCGAACCGGCTGAACAGGGCTCTCTAAAGGGTCGCCGTGGCTCGCGGCGGAAAGCGGTTTCCGAAGTGAAATTCCGGCGACGAATGTTGGCTCCGGTGGGGAGACAGAGAAAAGAGAGAAAAAAAACAGTGAAAGGTGAAGAGAGAGAGAGAGAATCGGAAGATGTAAAAGTACACCTAGTCAAAGATTAAGAAAGACGGAAAAATATTAAAATAATAATAAATTTGATATTTTCGAATATATTTTATTTTATTTCTTTTGTAATATTAGACTTGTGAAGCTGCAGCCTGCGGATTAGTTCAAAATTTTCAACATAAATTTAAATATTTTTTAGGGTTATATAAATGTTATCAAAATATTAAAGTTATATAAATGTAAAGTTTAGTTTTTATATATTTATAATATATTAAATTTAATGATGATATATTGTTAATGTAAAAAAATTTCAGAAACAACTAATTAAATATTATAATTTGTATAATTTTTAATATAATTATTTTAAAAATCAATAAATTTTAATTTTTATAATGAATTATGATTAAATAATTACTATATATTAAAAGAACTAAAAATTTTATTAAAAAGGACATATTAAATTTTGACGTAATAAATCATGCAAACATAAAAAATGATTCCTTACGACAAGTGTTAGTTTTTTTTTTTTTATCTGTTTTTCTTTTGCTGAGATCATGCTTACTTTTGTTATGGAGCCTTTTTAGATAAAATTAATAATTTATTTATTTATTCATGCAATGCTAGCAAATAAAAGGAAGAAATTCTCTGAAAAATTGTAGTTGAAAAGAAATCGGATGAGATTTTCTAAAACACAAATCTTGACTTTTTCTTTTAAAATTATCGGTTGATTAAAATGTGTAATAATTTGGATTTTTTTAAAATGATTTTCATGTTTGGAAAGGAGACACGTTGGAATGATGAGGATGTTTTCGTAATCTGAAGGGGACAGAGCAGTTAACTTTACGTTGATGTTTGGCTAAGGTTGTAATAAATGAGAAAATGACAAAATATAATTCCTGAGTTTTATTATTTTGTTTGGGAAAAGATATATTCAAATATATACACTTATGCTAAAAACTTCACTACTAAATTTTTTATTCTAAAGATCACTTATTTTCTACCAAAGATAGTTCTGGTCAAGTAATTATTAATAACATTAAAATTTTAAAATAATTTATTAAAGAAATATATTCAAAATATTTTATCAATGTAGAATATTAATAATTTATAAAAGAATAAATACTATTATTTTATTTCATGTATTATATTGTCTTATAATATTTATATATGTAGTAAGCTTTTTATTAGATACATTATATGAAATATTTTAAGTTCTACATATTATTTAAATTTATTTAACTCAAGTACTTGAAAATATAAAAGTAATAATTTGTTTTAAAAATATTAACTAATATTTGGTTTCATGTTTTAAATTTTTTATATTTTAAATTAATCATAATATTGTTTATAAATTTAAAATTTTATGATGATAAAAAATTAATTTTTTTTAAATATCTTTGTAAAGTATTGAATTACTATCTCTGATGTTAATTATAAGTGTAACGTAGTGAGGAGATTTTTGAGTTTAGTTGACTCTAGAGAGAGAAGAGTATATAAGAGTTTCTCTAAGAAGGGAATTTCATAAGTTCATTCTCAAAGAAACTAGAGAGAAGTTTTAGAGAGAATGACTCTAGGTCCGTGAGCTCTTTCTCTCTCAAATTTCTCTGGTTGATTCTTCTTCTTCTCTAGATCACTAACTTCTTCTGTCTTCTCTTGGAATTCAGGCTAGGAAGCTTGATTTTGAAGGATTGAAGTTCGGGAGTCGAGCTCGGAGGAAAGTTTTCTTCTTCCCAAATTCTTGGTTGTTCGGAGCCAATCTTCAGGTAAGGGAAGCTAGAATGTATGTTGTTTGGTTGCATGGGAGTTTAGGAACTCCATTGATGTATGGAATTCGAGAAGAAGTGGTTGAATCGGGTGATTTCCTTATTTTTGGGTTTTTTGGGAAAAATGGGGTTTTTGTCAATTTTGATGCATTGATTGGTTGCATGTTGAATATGAACTCATTTTTTAGTTGTAGGGAGTCAATATGTTGCATTTCATGGATTGCATGTGGTTGAAGTTGCTGATTTTCAGGTTTTGAAGGAATTTTTGAGGTTTTTGGAGGTTTTTGGTTGAATATGCGTCGGGTTCAGTTCTTGGCGTCGGGCGTGCATTCATCCGAGGCCATTAGTGTTAAATCACGCCAGGCGAGAGACTAGTCGCGCTGGGCGTGGGGATTCTTGTGAGTCTCTGTTTGAGTTTGCGTAGGCGTGATACTAATGCGTTGGGCGTAAGTATGTTGGTCTTTAAGTCTTCATGAAAGTTGTAGCCTTGGATGTTAGCTTTCTAATGGCGCTGGAATCACCCAGAAAGGAGGTCTAGAACTCTAGATATGGCTGTTTTAGTGAAGAGGTTTCAAGTTGCCAGCATTGGTTTTCGCTATTGCGGTTTTTAGAATTTTTAATAAGGTAGATGAAGGAATTAAGACTTGGTGTCTTCATGAGAGTTTTAGGAAATCTTCTTATCTTTTATATGAGATAAGGATGAGCATGATAGGAGTAGTACAACTTCCGATATGCTGTTTTATGTAAAGGTTGTCATTTCACAAGGAGTGATTTGGATAAGTTAAAGGTTGTCTTAGGTGCATAGGTTAATTCATGTTGTATATGTTGTGTAGGTTGCCATGATAGATGAGTTGTAAACATGATGGGTGAGTTGTATTATGTGTTGAATATGTTGTATGTTGTGAAGTTGTTGATCTATTATATGTTGAATTGATGATCTTGTTGAAGAATGTTGAAACTAACTCGTTAACGTTATTTTATGTTATGAGTTGGCTAATTATGTTGTGAAATATGATGAAATGATATAGCTGAAAGTTGTGAAGTGCATGATGATAATATTGTGAGAAGCGTGATGTGAAGTGTGTAGATGTGTTGAGATTTATATAGAAGTTATTAGTAGACTGTGTTGCTACGTTGTTAGAGGAAAGTTGTATGTTGCTATAAAGTTGTATGTTGTACTATGTGTTGAAAGGTATTATTATGATGATTGAGATGTAGATTATGAGTTGAGACGATAAGATGTTGAGTTGATCCTGCTGTTTAAGTTGTTGAGCTGAGTTGTGCTGTTGAGTTGATCATGTTGTTTAAGTTGTTGAACTGAGCTATTCTGTTGAGTTGATCATGTTGTTTAAGTTGTTGAGCTGAGTTGTGTTGTTGAGTTGTAAGTTGATTAAGCTGTGATGATGAGTTTGTTGATCACTAGGACTAGGGGAGATGTTTTTGAAGTTGCTCATCCCATTGTGTGGATTGAGAAAGCTGTGGTGCTCAAAGAGCCTAATTTGTTGAAAGCCCTCCTTGGGAAGTTGTCCCTTGGAGTGGACGTTGTGTTGTTCGCCTCTAGGACTTAGTTGGTCCCGTGTTGGGCAAGGTCGAGGCACACATGTACAAAGCGACCACGGTATAGGGGCCAGGTCGAGCTATATCGATTACAAGCGGCCAATTTGAGTAAAGTACGAAGTTAGAAACTTAGTTCCTAACCAAGTATCGGAGGATTGTAGTATTTGGAGGATAGTTGGTAGGCTAATTCCATAGGTGGTTTAGTTGAGCTAGCTAATGTCGTGGTAGGCCTAAACCCAGCTATTCTATCTTGACATAGTATTATACTTCCTTGTTTAAGTGGCAAAGCTTGAGAAATCGTTATCGTGGTGTAGATTGGCATCCAAATTTGTTGTTTACCTAGCAAGCCCAAAAAGGTTCTTTGTTGTCGGTTCGGTAGGACTTAGTCACTTAAACTGCTCACCCATGTTGTAGGAGATCTCCGAGTTGAAATGTGTGACGACGCATAAGCTGTTGATGTGTTTAATTGATGTTGATATGAGTTGTATATATGTTGTTGTGTTGTTAAGCTATGATTGTGTTGTATGTTGACCCTGTTGAGGATGATGATAGTGTTGTTATGTTGTAAGTTGCTTATTTGTATACAAGTTGATGATGATGCTAGCGTTGCTAGATTACCTGTGTTGTAAGTTGTTTTAAACATGTGTTGTTGAAAGATGTGTAATACATGTGTTGGTTGTTGTTATGATGAATATGGTAACTATTCTAATGGTTTGTACAGTAGTTGCGTTGAAGTGTTGATACAGTGTTGATATGTTGAATCAAGTTGAAATGATGTTAAGATGTATATGATATGTGTTGTTTGTCTTCTGTGTCAGATGTGAAGATGATTATATAGTTGTTGTGTTGCATATTCAATTATTACAAATTTTTTATTGTCTCTAGCTTACCATTGCATATTTCCATGCGGTTTGGACTGCGATGATCATACGATGTATGGGAGTAGGACAGGGATAGGCTGAGAGATCGCTACTAGAGGCCACAAGAGGTGCCTGAAGTTGAATTTTTTTGTAGGCTACCTTATAGTAGCATATTTTGTTGTATATAGTTGGTTGTTGTTGGTTGCTTGATTAGCAACTATTGGGTTGTAATTACTTTATTATACTATTTTAGTGTATATATATATATATTCTAGTAATGTGTAGTATTGTTCCGTAGTGTGACGGCCATGGCGGGTCGTTACAATAAGCAATCAAATTAATTTTATTCTAATTAAATTTCTTTTATACTCTTTATTTATTATTAACATAATTTATTAAATATGATAATTACCTAAAGTAAAAAATATATATTTAGAATAAAATTTAAATTTATAGTAGAATTAACTAAAACTAATCTTATTAATTATTATTTTTATCTTGATAGTTTGTCATTGCTTATAACTAGAATAAGTAGTATATTATTATTTCAAAGAAGCAACTTTGTTAATTTTGCTTCTCATTCGGGCTTCTCCTTAGTAGGTGTTGGATTGAAGTAACCCCCTTGATGTCTCTCTTATTGTTTCCTTTGAGCATCTTGTCTCTATAATACTTTAATGAGAAGTATTAGATACTTATTCTAACATTCACTTACTCACATTATCTTTAGTTTTAGTTGAAATTTGTTAAAATTTACAAATTTTTTGTTCTGTATTTTATTTAATGAGTCTCTCATGATTTAATGATAAGACTCATAAAAATACATGATTTTTAAACAATAATAAAAAGAATA